TTTCTGCCAAAAAAAATTATGAAATTACGCAAACTGAGCATAAAAATGTGAAATTATGCGATTCTGTTAATTTTAACAAAGAATGATACAGGAAAATAATCAGAAACTATGCAAAAAATGATCAAATTTTGCTAAATTATGTGGGGTGCAGAAAACCGCGGGGACAGTTTAGAGAGGCAAGACTATCTCACCTGGTATGTTGAACAGTGTGTTCAGAATGTACAGACTATCTCACCGGGTATGTTGAACAGTGTGTTCAGAATGTACAGACTATCTCACCTGGTATGTTGAACAGTGTGTTCAGAACGTACAGACTATCTCACCTGGTATGTTGAACAGTGTGTTCAGAACGTACAGTCGCTTGTCATCCAGCTGAATATACTTGTTGGGGTACAGCTCAGACACTTCAAGGCTGAAAAGTTTTCACAAGTTTTTTATAGTCTAAGTAAGAGTTTTACGGCACTTGCAACACAATAAGGTCATATAAGTGTCCGAAGAGTAGAGGTGTTACAAGAGAGTAACAAACATTTTAAAAAAGAGGAGAGATCAGGACGATAGATGTTTGATAGGAAAGAAGGAGCAAACCACACCAGAGCACCCGCCAACCACCCTCTTTTAGAAGTTTTTATTAAGAGTTTTACAGTATTTGCAACACAAGTAGGTAATACCCTGGAGATGTGCCACAGATTAGAGGTTCTACAATAGAGTAATATACACAGAGACGAAGGAGAGATAAGGACAACAGATGTTTGATTGGACAGAATGCGTAAACCCCACTGATGCATCTATGAACCACCCACACAGCTGAAAAGAAAGTTTTCTTCTCAGAAAAAGTGTCTTTTGTTTATTGCATTTGTTATCTAAAGTCTGTTTTTTGCAAGCTCTTGTGCCTGTTGATCTATTTCTTCTTGTTCAACATGTCAAAAATGAGAAGTTTAGTTTCAGTAGAGGTTTTACGGCACTTGCAACACAATAAGGTCATATAAGTGCCGAAGACTAGAGGTGTTACAAGAGAGTAACAAACACAAGATAGAAGGAGGGGAGATAAGGACGATAGATGTTTGATAGGAAATAAGGAGCAGACCACACCAGAGCACCCGCCAACCACCCACGAGCGCCTCATTACATTATGCTGCCTCACAAAAGGCGTATGAACTAGCAATACGAAACACACAGCAAAGCGTAACAATGTACTTTATCACAATAATAAAAATAAAGAATGAATTGCATAAAAGTAACATAGGATAAACTTACGGCTTGAGGAAGTGAAAGCCATGGACACAGACCAGGATGTTGCCGTATGAGTCAACTTTTAACAGGTTGCCGTAGGTTTTGTCAAACCAAAGACCTCTGTCACGACAGGGAGGACAAAAAATGATTGCTTTAAAACGAAGCCTTTTCTTCAGAATAGAAACAGCAGAAACACTAAAATAGGGAAAAAGCAGTGCCCCCCCCCCCCCTCCTCTTTCACATCTCTCCTCTCTCTTTATATTACTCATCTTAGAAACATTGCTAGTAGTTTTGTTTGATTATAACATGTGTAATACTTGGTACTAGAGATTTCAAAATGAAGGTATTTTACAACCCCCCCTTTTTCCCCTCCCCCCCCCCCCCCCCCAATTTGTTGCTTTGAAAGACACATTAAAAATATTTTTAAAAATAAGAAAAAGTTAATTGCCATTCTGGTCCACAAAACACACAAGAATGCCATCAAGCTTTGTCCATTTAATTACTGCTCCGCCAACTTTATTTTCAGAGGCAATGCCATAATACTGAAAGGAATCTCATTGTATACAATAGAATATGTGAAGCGTGCTGACAAAATGAGTTACTTCTCGGATTCGAGCCCTATGAAAATAGATACATCACTTTTACAGGTGAAGTTTTTACAAATTATAAGTATGATATAATAAAAGGTATGTTATATTTAAAGAAGATGGCATCAATAGAAAATCTACAAACTTGACCCTAGTGTCGATTTTTGGCCAATATCTCCACTTGTCGATTGCAAGAAGTAACTCATTTTGTCAGCACGTCTCACATAATATGGTTTACGGTTTTCATACATTCTCCCAGACTGAAAAGGCAAGCTTGAAAACATACACTCTCAGAGGAAAGTTAGGAAGAAAAGAAAAAAAAAACAGACTGACCTCACTGGGAAAGACGGATCGTACTGGAAGTTCTTAATTGGTTCCGGGTATCCAATCTCTACCAGCCGTTCCTTGAGAAGGTTAAAACCCATCGCTTCGTAAATGGGAGATTTGTACACTGTGAGAAAGAAACAGCATGTCGTTTTTGTAAAAGTTTTTTCTTTCTTTTCCGTAAGAGTTTTTTTTTTCTTTTTTGTAAGAGTTTTTTTTGCCTTTTCGTAAGAGTTTTACAGCACTTGCAACAAAATAAAGGTATATAAGTGCCAAAGATTACAGGTGTTACAAGGGAGTAACAAACACAAGAAAGAAGGAGGGGAGATGAAGATGATAGATGTTTAGATAGGAAAGAAGGAGCAAACCACACCAGAGCTGCGGAGCACCCTCCAACCACCCACAAAGAAACAGAGTAATATGAACATTTCTCAAAACGTGTGAATCCAGATTTCTAAAGCCTCACAGGGAGAAAGTCTAAAACAGTGACAGAATGAAAGAAAACGATAGAAGAGGGGAAGAAGGAGACTCAAGGAGTCAAAATGAAAGGAAAAAAAAAGAGTACAGTGCTGAAACTATAAGCAGGCACATTGTTTGATGATTACTATCAAAAGAGATTCAAGGGTAATAATAATAAATAATAAATTGCATTTATACAGCACATTTCCACAAAGAAGTACTCAATGCGCTGTACAATAATACATAGAACATATGCAGCGCCCAGCTCCTATAGTAATCCTCTTTCTCTCTCTCTCTCACTCTGTCTCTCTCTCTCTCTCTCTCTCTCTAGTGCATCCTTGAGTAAAGACAATCCCACAAAGCTTACCCAGACAACCTCACACAGACATTAATGAATTCACACAGTCATAAATTCTTGCAGAACAGAACAGCATGAATAAACGATACTGAGAGAACATAATAGATACTGAGAGAACATAATAATACTTGTATTGAGAATGTCGGAAATTACAGATTGAAGCTGGACTGAAACAGATGCGTTTTAAGTGCTGATTAAAATTTTGATAGAGTGGCAGACTATCGTAGATGAGCTGGTAAAGCGTTCCACAGGGAGGGGGCGCGGTGTGAAAAAGATCTCCCTCCGAGTCTCTGACTTTTGCACTCTCTCTCTCTCTATCTCTCTCTTTCTCCAGATAAATATATATATATATGACCTTCAAAATTAAATACGTATATTTTGCAAATCCCGAGTTGAACTGGCTGTATTGTGCCAAAATAGAGGACTCTGGCTGTGATCGTCAATGAGTGCAGATACATGAGGGTGTTATATTTCTCCTTTATCATTCAATCAAAATGACAGGAATATAAAGTTGAAAGATTTACCCGCCAAGGTGTAGTCCATGTCAAATCCATAGAACTTGATTTTGTCCAGATGGAGCCCACGATTCACAAAGATCCTGTCAAAGACGAAGATTGGAACATCATTTACACAGACAAAATGTGCAGTGTGCTGACAAAATGAGTTACTTCTCGGATTCAAGCCCTATGGAAATAGTAACAGCACGCTTATTGGTGAAGTTTTTACAGTTTATAAGTGTGAAATGATAAAAGCCCTCTTGTACTTCAGGAAATATGGCATCAATACAAAATCAGCACACTTGACTATGGTGTCGATTTTGGCCAATATATCCATTTGTGGATTGCGAGAAGTAACTCATTTTGTCAGCATGCTTCACAACACCTCATAATACTGGTTGTTGACTGTACAGAAAAAAAAGCCGAATTGCAGGAGCAACTATGGGAAGTATATTAAAAAATATGATATTTTATAATAATAATAATAATAATAATAATAATAATAAATTGCATTTATATACAATAATACAAAGAATGTTTGCAGCACAGAGCTCCTATAGTAATCCTCTTTCTCCCTCTCTCTCACTCTGTCTCTCTCTCTGTTTCATTTTATGTGCAGACATTTGCATTTCTGGAACAACTTTTTTATTACTGCTTATGGCTTAATACTTTAAGCACCCGATTCAACACAGGAAGGGTCAGTAACCAAGGATCAAATATCAAACCAATCCAAAGGCTTAACCAACAAGCATTAAATATTCTGCTCTGTCAGCAGGCACTATAACTTCCACAGAATGAGAAAACAATTAAATATTTTAAAAAAACACAATTAGATACAAAAAGTAAGTTTATCCTTCATATTTCAGAAAATTGTGTCACAATTAATTACACGTATCTTCCGGTGCAGCTCAGTGGCGATGAGGCTTTTTCAGATCTCCATATTTTTTTAAAAGTGTTTTTTCGGTCCTGTGCAGCCAAGAAAAATTTCCCTCTGGGACAAGAAAGTATCATCTCTTATCTTGTCTTATCTTATATAATCTATATATATTATAATTGTGAAATTTCGTCACTTTGGTCGCCTAAAACTTCTGAACAACTTAACTTTCAAATTTGAAAAAATTAACGGTGGTTCAGAATCATTTAAAGGGTGCACAGTAATATTAAGGAGTCTGAAGTCACTGTACTTTAATTTTCAGTTTTTCATTAGTTTCATTTAGATCTAATCTTGGGAAAGTCCATCTTTTAAGACGCCAATGTAAACAAGTGAGGCTTCCGTTCACAAACAGTGCACACTGAACCCACGATGACTTGACGATCGATTCTTTTGAGTCCGTTCATCGAACGGGGTACCCAGCCGGTAAAAAATTTAAATGAAAACCTGAAACATAAGCACACAATACACTGTACAATATAATGCTTTGTATTTCCAATAGACGCCAAGTACAGTCAGACCAGCTCTAGCGGTCACCTGTACAAACGATCATTTCCTATTTCCCCGATTGCAGTTTTTTAAAGACATTAAAATGACACTGTGTAAGACAGCTACTACTTCTCTCCTCGTCCATAATCTTCTATTTATGAAAAACAAAATATTAGTACTAGTACAAAGGACTTGAAAACAAAAACCACCCACCCCCCCAAAAAAAACAACAAACAAACAAAACAATAACAACCCACAACCAAAAATACCCCCCCCCACCCCCCCCCCCAAGACATTCAGAATCTTTTAATCTATCTGTTCATATCTAAAGTAAACTTCTGAACCCAAACTTCCTATTTTCACATGCTCTGCTTTACATGTACAGGTAAATAGTATTTTCAAAGTAGGAAGCACAGTAAAACAAACAGCATCTAATCAATAAAAGTTAGGTTGAAATTGTCCCAGATGGCCCCCTATTGTTATTGTTTGTGAGAAAAACGGTTGTCTTGAACAGTCTTGTATGTGCACAATAGGACATGTTCCCAACGGAGGGAGACTTCAACTACGTCTTTACCTCTACCAAAGCATCTTCATTCACCTTTGATATAATGTCAGTCTACAACAGAAAATAATGAAAGGGAGAAGCAGAAAGTGTTACGTCGCACAAATGCTTGTATGAGACAGGTGGCTGTTAAATTAGGTTCCACTGTGTCGACAAAGGTCTACTTGAGGTTTCCAGTCTCAGAATAAATCAAAACTGTCTTTCCCTTTCACCGACAACATCACAGCTGCCCCCCCAAGTTGTCCCCAGAGAGTGGAGGTCTTTAATGTGCACAGTAGGACATGTCCCGAACGGAGACCTCGCTCAACTACGCCTTTCCCTCTACCAAAGCATCTTCATTCACCTGTGATGAGGTTCTCTCTTAAAGACTTTTAAGCTGGTGTCCATCGGGAACTCTTGAGATTCTGCTCCATTCGCCTGAGTTTTCCCATCTTTTGCGTCACCATTAGACATCATTTGCACAATCGAAAAAACTCCAGACGTATCCCTGGGAAACAAGAAGCAAAAACAAAGTATGAAATGACAGGGCTTAAAAGAAGGAAATGTTTCTTAAGTGAATTGTTTGAAAAATATCAGATTATGACAAAATCTAGACCCCCAACAAATTTACTCGAATATTTTTTAAAGCACTTTGCAATAATATTTTGAGGAAAATCCAAAGAAACTGGGTGGTAAACATTGCTAATTGGCGAGATGAGGCGGCAAAGTGTTAAAGAGAAGAAATAAAAACTGCAGAGAAACCCAACTTTAGCGATGACAGACATCCGATTAAATGAATGCTATTACTATTAGGTGCCAGTTTAGTTGGCGGTCCACCGTGATATATATAGTTTTCTTATTCTACCGCAAGTCCTGTCTCATCGACCATGGTCTATCACTGTCTAGCGTAGTGTAAGTCCCGCCTGATTGGCCATGGTCACGACAGCACTGGGGGCATTTAGATGGAAGTTGGTAGGATTTACAATGGTGATGATTGGGTGGGTGGATTGCTTCATTTTCCAGTCTCGTTTAAACCAAAGAATTTTACGGAGGTTAAGATTATGACTGACAAATAAGTCATGATCATGAGAGCAAGTGGTCAGACAGGACTATTTTCAAGAAACTGGGGGGAAAATTGGGGGGG